TTAAAGAACAACACATTTGCAAAAGTCTTACCTATTTGTGGCATGTTCAGTAACTTAGCTAAACTCAACATTAAATCAAGAGGTCACCTGTTAAAATTACCAGATAGCAAAGCACGTCCTGACATTCTTTTCTATTTTTAGACTCCAGGAACTGTATCATTTCCCAGCTTGGTGAAGAAGCAGAAGTAAGTTGTAAACAAGTATTGGTGAGGAAAACAGCTAAATAAAAATCAAAACAGCCCATATGGGGCCTTTCAAATGTACCACACTTTGGAGGCAGAATTTTTACATGGACAAATGCCAAATGTGACCAAGGCTACTAACCACTGAATGTCTTAATATTTTACCAGTTCAAGGTTACCTTACTGTTTTTTGAAAAGTTAACTTTTATATTCTACTGAATATCCAAACAGTGATATGAGTGCCTTCCTTGGAAAGCTAGAACTGATCACAAAACACAGTTTTGGTAATACAAGTATTGGATACAAAGGAAGCAAATAAATGGATTGGTGATTAATACTACAGAAAAATCAGAACCTTGGTCAACTGGGTACTAAATGGGCGAAGAGGTTTGCTTACTGCCTGTGTAGGGACTGTATGTGCTGTCTGAAGTCTTCTCTGAAAGAGTGAGTTCAGCTTAGACGTGGAGCCTCACGGTGCACTGGCAGAGGATTCCTTCAGTTGTGAATTGTACCACTTCCGGCAGGGAAATGTTTTAAGTTCAGAAGTATTGATATTATTTATAGTGGAGACTAGTGAATTTGAGCTCAGAAGGATATGAAGTCACCCTCAACTTTGAAAGCTAAGTTAGAGCAGGTAGCACTTTGGTTATTATTTCAAGGTATATTTTGGAAAGAGGCTTGTACTATAGGAGCCATGCCCGGTTCTTGCAAGACCACGTAGCCATGTGACAATAGCTTAAAGGAAATGAGCAAGTATGAAACAAAGACTTGGTATTTGGGAAGTGCCTGGCTAAATGACATTTAAATTTTTTCTCAGTGGAAGTTCTGTTTTATTGCCCCTTAGAACACACAGCTGTCCTTTAGCAAACAACGCAAAGAGAACCTGCAACTTCAGTCTAAAATGGCTGCGCTGCGAGAAACAGCAGAGAAAGTCCAGGTAATGAGAACAGCTACTCTCATTTTTAAAGTGGAACTGAAGTATAACAAAACAAGTGATTACAGTGAGAAATGATTACACGTTTACTGGGAAGCCTCAAATGCAGGTCAGAAGACAAAGTTTAGTGCCCTCAGGTAGTGAGGGCCAACAAACAACTTCCAGTGAAGGAATTCAATCACTATCCTAGTTAACTGTTCCAGATTTCTCAGCCTTCAGGCTGGAAAGTTTTCTTCCCAATACTTATTTTTAATCAGCTTTTTTGAAAGTGTTTTCTTCAGAGGCCAGGACATGCAGAACTACTGCTGCTCCCTCTTCTATTTGCCCTTGAAGCATTACGTTTATATTCCTTTGCACTTTTAGATTCCACATGAATGTATTTCTGTTAATGTCCTGGTTTTGGACAATGCCCTGACTCAAATATGGAGTACTTGCCTGGCTAAAATTTCCTCTGTCCCTGGAAGTGTTCAAGGGTTGGATGAGGCTTTGGGCAACCTGGTGTAGTGGAGGGTTTCCCTGCCCATGGCAGGGGGTTTGGAGCTAGATGATCTTTGAGGTCCCTTCCAACCCTAACCATTCTATGATTCTGTCTTTTGGGACAAACGGTTGACCTCAGTACATTCTAAAAATTTTTATTTATTCTACTTTTTAGAACACATTTTGAAAAACTTTTTTTCCCCCTCAACAGATACTTGTTTATTGGACGGTGTGCACTGGTAATGGGATCTGGATATGTCTTTCACAAAGCAGTTCCATTTTTCTTTGGTTATCTACAATAATTCAACTACAAAATTAGTAGGGGTCTGTTTTCAATTTTTGCCTTCTTTGCCTTAGAAGCATTACTTTTTTTCTGGACATCAAAACTAATAAGTGATTATGCTTGATTGATGGTTTAAACTATGTTCTCTTTTTTCCCATTACTGTAAACCTTTAACACCTTGCAATAAATCTACCATAAATTGGGACTACCTGAACAAATTTTTTTTGACACTTTCTACCTAAAGTAGATTTTTCCTTTCTCTGCAAGAAATTTTTTTAAAGTTTCTGACTGCCTACTATGCAGGAAAAATTCCCCAAACCCCTGAAAATGTGTTTGTCATCCTCTTTCTCCTTCTATTTAACCAGGTCCTTAATGACCACTTAAGCCAGCAATGCTCAGAGCTCAGCACCACGCTCCAAAGTGTTGCCATGGAGAATGCTAAACTCATTTTGGATTATCAGACCATGCTTAAGGTATGTAGCCTACTATTACAGTCCAAGAAAGTTGTCTGCATCTTAGGTGTTAGACAACAGACTCATTCCTAATACCGATAATCTGTGGGAATACAGTAAAATACTTTATATACAGCAATAGAAGTTCTATACAGGTGGCAGTGAGAAAGTGTTAGTGTCCTTCTTTGGCAAAGATTTATTTTCAGTACAGAAAAAAAAAAGTCGTATATTAGAGGGAAAGAATGTAAATATGTTGATATTATTTACGGAAACATTCTGTAACAACCACTGAGAAAGAGGAACGTAGGAATTAATGGACATTGTAAGTACTGTAAATGCAGAAGCTGAGTGGAAGTAGTAAGGATCTGAGACGAAATACGTATCTAAAAGCTAGGTAACGTGAACTCAGCTTTGGCACCCTGTTCCAGAAGCAGCACACCACAATGCAGGGATGATGCAGGAGCTCAATGACAAATGAACAGCTTTGTAAATTAATTACTCATCCCTTATCATTCTGATGTTAGTGTTATTGCCTGGGTAATTTTTCCCCTTTAGGCAGAGCAAGAAAAGACTCGTAAGCTGCAAGAGCAAGACTCGCTTCCGAATGCTGCCCCTGCCAACGTTCTTGGAGAGCTGCAGAGTGTGCAGCATGAGAGGGCTCAGCTTCAAAGAGAGCTGTGAGGAGTTTTCTCGTCTGCAGCCTCTGTGTCCCCTTCCTCCGTTGCATTCTCACCACCTTCATTTCTGCTTCTCTAGTGCTTGTTAACATGTTAACACAGAAGGGCCACTTTGGGATTTAAAGCGGAGGCCATCTTCTGTCCTTCTGTTTTGCTAGAACTCCAGCTTGGCTGTTTTGTCTTTCTTCAGGGAGGCCTTGCGTACAGAGTATGGCAAATACAGGCAGAAAGCAAGCCTTGCTGAGGAGGCAGCAACCACACAGAGACAGCTTTTGAAATGTACTGTTGCTCGACTGCAAGGTGAACTTGAGACAGCTTTGCAGGAGAAAGGATCTCTGCTGGCAGAAAAGGAAGGTCTTCAACAGGAGGTACAGAAAATGTGCAGTTTTAAAGGTGTGTTTTTGAAGGCTGCTTTCGGACCCACATCGCTAGAGTTCTTATTTGCGTACCAGTTTTGCTTTCAGAACAATTATTTTTTGCTATTGCAGTGGCAAGTGTGATACACTCTCCCCTTTCCTGCAATGCTTATGAAAAGGGAGAGAGGACAGGGCGGCTCTGCAGATACTATTTCCGAACTTCAGAGTTGACTTGCAACCTTCAGATCTACTGTTCTGAAGATGTGTACTATTTCTGCAACTCTGGGTATTTTCAGGTGACAACAATTTCATATTTCTTTTGACAGATAAGGACAACAGCAAATGAAACAATACAGGAAAGGAACAAACTGGAAGTAGAAAAAACAGAGAATGAGGTATCTTGCAGTATATATGGCTGTTCTTTAAGTTTAGTGTTGTCTTTCTTTAAGTCTTCCTTTCATTTTGCTTCTCTCTCAACTAAATTATTTCTAAATACTGTGATATTTACCACAGCCATACTGTTCACTTTGCTGTCTGATGTTTTTCTTGTCCATATGGATGTGTCCTTTGGAGCAGCAACTGTACTGCTACCTACACAAGGCCCTATTTGCAGTAATAATTTTTTTTTATGCTACTGTGACAGATGATAAATAATTTTTAGCTTCTCTGAGCTGTTTCACCTGGGTAGCTTCCTTGCATGTGCATAGCCTGGAAAGGAAAGGCAGTGTCTGTGGTATAAAGGAGAAATTCCTTAGTGTTGTGACTGAAGTCAGCACGATTCTGTCTGTTGCAGAAGAGCTCTCAAACAGGAGAGACTATAATCTGTAGGTAGTGCTGAGGTTTTGTGATTTTCATGTATTACAACTGTGGAAATCTTGAAGTGGTATGATTAGAGTTGGATTTTCTTCTTCATAGCTAGAAATGGTTTCAATGAAATTCACTTTGCAAACGCTAGAGGAAGAGAACAAGAGGCTATTGGATCACTTGGCTACACTGGTGCATGAGCAGGTAAGCCAGTAGTAAAGTAGACAACTGATGACCTGGCTGGTAAGTAACTGTAGGAGGAATCAAGGTGCTCTTTGAAGTAATGTGTATTTTATTGAGAGTAGCTGATCAAATTAAGGAATCAAAAAGAGGAAAACATTAAAACAGAAGGAAAAGATACTTCAAACGTTACTCCATCTTTTTAGATGTCTGTGTGGGATGAGCTAAGAGAACTATATGGAGCTTCAGGTATTGGACATTTAGGTATGTCATTAAAATCCTAAGACTCCATTCCATTTGCTAGTACAGGTACACAGCTTGTGTATCTGTACATAGATATTCCACCTGTGTACATTGGGAAGGTATTAACAACAGTTTTCTGCCCTTTGTAGAAAAACTTGCACTTGGGACCTCATTCCCATTTTTAATTCATTTCCATTCCCTTATTTCTCACTGCTCTCAGTCACCTGGATCAGGACACTTGAGCAGTTCCAGAAAAGTTCAGTAAAAGCTTAGTAATACTGTGCTACCAGTGCTTTTACTGTTTTGTGAGGGTTTTGTGGTTTGTTGTTGTTTTTTTTTTTTATTTTATTTTATTTTTTTCAGAGTTAGATGTAATGACCAGTTGTATACACTGGACATCCCAAAATGCACTTAGCTGCTGATAGGGTCCTAACATCCCATTGCTAAAGAAGAATTAACTGAAACACCTTTTGAATGTTTGCTATTTGATAATCAAAGTTACATTTCTACAGTAGTTAGTGTGTAACACGTATATCTTTCTTCTGTTTAACCCAACTCCTTTGGCAGTCATCAGTTAAAGATTATGAATCAATGGAGGATTCAGAACCTTAAAGAGTTGCACGATTTTTAATTTTTTTTATATTCTTTACTGTTTAAGTTATTTTAATTCTGTCCATACCTTCTCATTCTTCTAGTTGTTTTTGCTTCTCTGTTCCTTGTTGTCAAAGGTTTCTTTCATCTCTCCATTTCTGTTGCTTGTGCTTCTAGGACAGTGGCCTTCTTGCGGCCATCTGGAAGGCTGCACCAATTTAAGCAGTTCTTCCTAGAGATTAAGCTGTCTTGGAGGAATTTATGCTATTTGAATATTTTTTTTTTTTAAAATCTGTTTTAGTGTTTCACATAATTGAAAATTTGTAGCTGAAGTAACACAGGGAAGTTAAAAGACTCAGGGAGAAACAGGACACTGATCACCTTTTTTTTGTTGCTTTTTGCCTTGTTTTTCCTATGGAATGGTGACATCTGCTCTTTTTTAGTATGTTCAGCAGCAGGTGCAACAAGTGCTGGCAGAGCTGGCTGACAGCAAGAATAAACTGGCCTATGAGAAAGGAAAACTTCAGGTACCTCTCAGCATCCTGTTTGTCAGCTCAAAAGGGAAACTTGTTTTTTTACGCTAAGCTAAGATAAGGTTGTTTAACCTTAGCTCTTCAGTACTTAATTTGGAGGGAAGTGCTTCTTTATATACTTGATTTATTTATGTACTGTCAAGCACATATATTAAGAGAGTTCTGTATGAAAATCGTCTTTGATCCTGCTCATACTGCCACTGGGTGACAAGATGCAGTAGATGTAACATCTCTCGGACTTTTGATAATTAAGTTGCTTAATGTGTGAAAATAGTAGAATGGCCAAGAACCACCAGGGGGCATTGAAACAAAATATATAGGTAGAAAATCAGTTGAAAGATTAGAAACATGGAAAACTTTATTAAAAATACAAATGAATAAGAAGGGAGGCAAGCCATGATGGTAAGCAAAACTAAAGAGCATATGTAAGCTTTCTTAAGCAGAAATTAGCCACACAGTAAACGAAGTGCTGGAAGTAAAGCCTTTTCTTCAGTGTGACCTGTATCACAGAATTTGGGACAGTGGTGCAAAGATTTATGAGTTTCTTTTTAAAACAGCACAGAATGTATAGTGATTATTGGAGAGCAAGAAAGCTACATTTATGCAATAGTCCCAGGTCTGGTGGTAGTGACAGAAGGAAGCAAACAAGACATTGTACTTAGATTAAAACAGGTTGAATTCTAATCTGGAATTATTTCTATGGAAGGATAAGTTAGAAGCGATTCACTTGCTGCTTCTCCTGCTATGGGACTCAGGGAAAAGAAAACATTTGCTCTGGGCAGGGAGACATGGTCACATCACACTGCTTCTGTGTTCCAGATAAGATAATGCTTTTTCTGTTTCTGCACCAAAAGAAAGCTGAGATGTTTTGTCCCATCTCTTTCCTTAAGATGGCAGTGCAGAAACTGGAGGAAGAGCTGTAGATGCCCGTTTAGGTGGTAGTGAGCTTTGCAAGTGCGTTTCATAGAGACCAGATACAATCAGGTGAAACAGAACTTTGAGAAGTTCTTACCCTTCAGAATTAGGGTCAGACTAAGTAATGCTTACATAGCCATTAGAAATCACATTCAACACACTTTTTTTCCGAAAACAGAGCACGCCCTTAATGTTAACTGTAGCATTCTAGTCTGCAGCTGGAAACAGAACCTGATTTCACCAAAACAAACATGAGAACTATGGAAGTTTAGCTGAGCAGAGCTGTTTTTCATACAAGTTCATTGCATATATTCAGGCTAGACAACACAGAGTTTACAGGATTATAAAGATAGTCCTCAGGATTTATTATTTCCCAGTAAGAGAACAAACAGTTGCAGAAAATACTTGCCTAGCTGTATTGCTGGGAGGCAGATAGTTATTCTGCTTCAGTCTGTTTGCGCAGTCTTATAGACAGAAGTTGAGAGAAGAGGGGTGTTATCCTGGGCAGTGAGACCAAGCTTGTAGGTACAGTGCTGTGAAGTGGACTCTGCTCTGTCATGAGTTTGGTATTCTGAGCTGTAAGTTCAAGTAACTTCATTGAGACTTCTGTTCACAAGCAAGAATGAACTTGTAACATTGCATGCTCTTTACAGACTCCCCATGCTTCTCAGATACGAAAGCAATCTTGGAATCATTTTGAGTTGGAAAACTAAAGAGGCCAAAGTGACAAACAGTCAATCATATCCATAATCTCCATTGATCTAGAAATTAGACAGAAGATGTAATCACATTTAGGACACTTCCCTGGGAAACAAGAGGTCCTGTTTTTTGCCTTCTGTTTCCAGAAAGCAAAACAAGTCAGAGTTTCTCTCGTACCTTATTCTCCATCACAGAGGATGGTCCATCAGATAGTCAAAGGCAATTGGATGTTAAGTTGATGATTGGAATCCATGACCTGAATGCTTATCAGATTTTGGGAAAGTTAAAACACTCAGTTCCACTGGTTTGTGGATGTAGGGAACTAGCTGTAGCAAGGTCTCACAGTGGGAGCAGACCTGTGGGGTGCTCAGAACTAGAGGACTGTGCTGTGACAACAGTAGACATCACAGACTTTTAACAAAGTTCCAGTCACCACTGCGTCTTGGTGCTGCCGAGATACAGAGGGAAATCACATGATTTTGAGTAACATGCCGTGGAAAGTATCACAGAAAAAAGCTTAAATATCTTCCTGAAGTAATGCAGACTTAGGAATAAGATGTAGCATCTACTTCTGCTCCAGTGAACAGAAGTTTTGGAGACTAGTTTTTGGATTTCTGGTTTTGGTACTCATGTCTTCACCGCCTCCAAGGGCTAACTGATTTTGTGGTAGGAATGGCACCAAAAAGAAAAAAATCCTCAGCAAGGTCTTGGCAACAGAAGTCTCCTGATTGTAATGCTAGGTCAGCTGCAGGTTCAAGAGAAGAAACTGTGAAATCTGATTTGTGTGCTTGTGTTCACCACTCTACACTGAGCTCATTCTGAACAAGATGAACATTCAAGAAACTCTGTGTCTGAATGTGGAGATAGTCCTAGGGTCAGCTGGAAGAATCTGTTAAATGCTATAAAGAACGTGGGAGAAAAACTGGAGAGTATTAGACATTCTCACTCCAAGATCATTGAGAACTGGATGTTCTACTGAGATTAATGTGGTGAGACTTTAATGTGGTGAGTGATGACCATGAAATGCAAGTTAGAATGATGGTTAATTTCAATTGACTAATCGATGACAATGAAGAAATGGCTGAAAATTAACAGGAACTGAAACCTTTCAGTGTTTTTTTGAAAGAGATGCAGATGAAAACTTGGGCTAAGCTACTGGTTTTGACTAAAAACCCAGCTTTATCTGTCTGTGGCACTTCTTGAAGACTGGGTTCCAAGAGTTCAGAAACATTAGAACTGTCAGTTAAAACACCCACAAAAAACCCCTAAGAACACCACCACACACTCAGCTTGGGCTTAAGTCAGGGGTAGAACGAAGGTTATGTAATTAGAGGAAGCTATTTCCATGTTCGGAACCATGGCATACTCTTGACACTGCTGCAAGCATGCAGGCTACTTACAAAACAATCCTTTACTAAAACTCTGATGAATGACTGATTTTCCTGCTCCTTTCCCTAATGATTTCTTGTACTGCAGATGGCAAGCCTGCAGCACCAGCTGGACACAGCAAAAGATGGTAACAGTAAGGTGACAGTGGTGCTGGAGCATGTGTTAGCTTCTCACAAGAAGATGCAAGCAGCTCTGGGTGCGGTACAAACTGAGCTGGGACACAAGGACACTGAAATCAGCAACCTCAGAAAAGACAAGTAAGTGAAACCGATGCTGTTTCTGTGGTCTGTCAGGAGTATGGGGAAGACAGATACAGCTGAAGAGTGGCATCTTCCCCATGGTTCTGGCTAATAAGCTATAGGACAAGTTTGTTTGAAACATTTAGTTTGTCCTTTCCTGCAACACTGAAACATACTCGGTACTAGTGAATCAAGTACACCAAGTGCTTGTAGCTAACCCTGCAAGCTTGGCGGGCCTCGTGCATCTTGTGGAAAAGGGGTAAAAAACAATTTCAGTTTAACTTCAGTGACAGGCAAAACTTAATATGGCTAAGTTAGAGAGCCAAACTGGTTCTCTATGGTCACCGCAGATGGTCACCACTTCAGAGGAGATGTGCACAGACTGACTTAATGCATGATTTTTTTAAAATCTGATTTCCATTTTCAGGAGCCAAACTGAACAGAAAGTACAGAAGTTAGAAACAGAATTGGAACATTGCCAAGCCAGACTGGTTGCCATGGGAAGGCAGCACAGCAGCCAGGTAGAGACTGCATTTTTCTGTACTAACAGCCACCACCACGTTTTTGGTGTTGAGCTAAGGACCTTTGCTTTTTCTGAATGCAATGTGGGTGTTGTGGTTTAGGCCACTCCGGCAGCTAAACTCCTCACAGCTGCTCACTCACCCTCCCCCACCCCCCAGGGATGAGGAAGAGAATTAAAGAAGAAAAAGAAAAAGAGACTCGTGGGTTGAGATAAGAACAATTTACTACTACTGCTGCTACCAGTGTATATATATGTGTATACATATATGTACAATGATAAATATATACGAACGAGTGAGGTACAGTGTAATTGCTTACCACCCCTTGACCGAGACCTGTCTCATCCCGAACTAACGATCCCAAAACAGGTAAGTCCCCATACCGCAATCCTGGACGAACGGGAGGTCCGAAAAATAGAGAATGAGACAGAAAGAGCACTCAGAGTCCAAGAGTGAGAGCCCCAGAAGAGCAAAAGCCCTTCTTTCTGGCTGTCCCTCACTTTTATACTGGACATGATGCTGCATGATATGGAATACTAATTAGCCAATTTGGCCCTCAATCCTAAGTCTAAGTTCAAATCATAAGGAGAGTCGTGGACCCCCTGTCCTGGCTGTGCTCCCCCCTATCCTGTTGTGCTCCTGCACACTGGCAAGAACACGGCAGCTGAAAAGTCCTTGAGACCTCAGTGCCAACCACAAACATCAGTGTGCTGGCAGCATTCTTCTCAGAGCAAGTCCCAGACTAAAACCAAAACACGGAGCTCTACTAGCTGCTAAAAAGAAGAACTAACTGTCCCAGCTGAAACCAGGACAATGAGGCAACACATTCACATGAATCAAGGCAAAAGTGTTCTAACAACCTTTGGCTGTGGAGCTGGGATATCATTATCCAAGCATTGAAGGAGGCAAGCATCTCCTCTTTAAAGAAAAGGTTCTTGGCACAGGTGAAGGTTTTACAGTCTGCAGCTGGATACATATAATGAACAGAGATTTTGGAAGTTTATGTAGCCTTTATTTTTTTTCTTATTAGAATGGAAGGGAAAAGAGTCCAGTCAGTGAATTGGCATCGTAAGGATTCCCATCTAGATGCCTGTGCTTAGGGCGTGTAATCAGACAGTTGGTGAATATACTGTTTCTTCCTGTGAGTTGATACTGACTGGGAAGGAAAAAAAAAAAATTCCTTTGTAAGCTTTTTCATTTGGCTAAGTACAAGTCTGATTTGTTGTTACTGCAAAGTAAAAACATGCTGGATCATAAAGCTTATCATAACATTAGTATCACTCAATCCCAGCATTCGCTTTTTTCCCCCCTTTGTTAGAAGGGTATTAAAGAAAAGTCAAAACACCAGGTGCTGTAGCATACTTCAGATACAGCAAATCATTTAGGTGTGCTGCTTGCTAATTGTTGTATAGAATAAACTAATTCTTACAGTTAATGCGAACTCACTTTTTCCCCTAGGTACAGAAATCCCTTGAAGAATCCTCCTCCAAATGGGCTGAAGTTTCCCGTGCTAACAAGGAGCTGCGGCAGAAAGTAATAGAGCTGGAAAAGTCTTTGTCTAGTTACAGGGAAAAGCTAAAAAGCCAGAGAGCTCAAGTCAGACAGTGCCTGGCCTATAAAGCCAACACAGAAAAGGTAAAGGTATGCTCACATTTCTCAATAAAGACGTATGTCCTGCTCGAGAACTCCTCTTTCCTCCTACTGAGTAGGACTGCTGATCCTTTGCAGTGGAGCTAGACTTGAAAATAAAACCAACTCTGGACTCAAATTCTGAACAGAAGATTCTATAAATCGATAGCAGCTATAGTAATTATGTGGCTTCTCCTGTTGTCCCCCTCCCCCATATTAAATATGATGCCAGAGAGTCCCAACCCCCCATTAGATTTTTATGGTAGCATTTGTCCTCTTCATTGTTTTGTGGATACAGTCTGTTTAGTTATTGATTGGGCTAAACATTGCTTGTGTAGTGATTAGTCCCTTTGCAACCTTTATAGCTGTAGAACTTACGGTTCAACTGGTACCTGATCCTAAATGAGGATCTAGCCTCCCTTGCAACTCTGCCACCTGCTTGTTCCCCTTTCCCCAGTGGGGCATGGGTTCGCTGAACTTCAGTCTCAGGGCGAGGAATAAGGACACAATGTAGCAGCCAGTGAGCCTGAAAAAATTCTGAAGTTTTGTTTCTCTCAATTTTCAGGAGACTGAATCAGAACTGAGGAAAATGGAAGCAATAAAAGAGGAGTATCAAAAGAAGAATTATGAACAGGTGAGCTGTCTTGGATAGTTTCCTGAAGAGGCTCATCTACTAAAACGTTGTTGCAATTTCTTTCTTGTGTTGTCTTCAGTCACAGGACATCCAGAAATTTGTGTCAGAGTTGAAAAGTGTGCAGAGTGAGATGCAAGTGTTGTTGAAAAACCAACATGAAGTGCAAGTGCAGAACAGGCAGCTGGAGAGCCAGCTGGAAGCGGAAAGAAGGCAAAGGCAGCAGCTGGGAAATGAATGTCAGGTAAAGCAGTAACAGCATGAGAAATTGGTGACACCCCCATGGAAGCATTTTTCTGCAAAATCTATGGGGTTGTAGAAAGACTTTATGAACTCAGTCAAAAGATATTCCTATAAATCTTGCTGTGTCTGCTCCAGAAAGTCCATCCAATTAACAACTTAATATACATTCACTGTATATCTGACTTTAGAGAGAAACAGGAATTTTTTTTTTTTTAATTCTAGAACTCTAAGCTAGTTACAATAAAGATTGGAGAATCCTTCTGTTAGATAGCAATTTTTTACTTGTGCTGTGAAAAAAATTGTGTACAAATTAGCGTTATTTCTTTTTCTACCTAGAAACTGGTAAAAACAGTCAACTATCTGAAGAAATACAAAGAGGAGACAGAAAAGAAGCTGAAGGAAGCCAGCATAGAGTCAGAACAGGTGAGACCAGTTAGCATTAGAATAGTAACTCATTGAAAACAAGATAGTATTTCAGCACATGTGCCAAATAACCCTTTCTTTCTCAGACATACATCTCTGGTGAAGAGTGAGGTGCATCCTTGGTCTTTTCAACTGAGTGGTGTTTATCATACTTTTTTTAAAAAAAAAAAAGTTTTTCTCTTTTCTGGGAATCACTTCAATTTAGTGGGCCTTGTAAAGAGAGCTTTTGTCCCCCACAGCCTACTGGTTTTATCAGGTTTGGGATATCTGTGTTAACCAAAGTGTTGTGGCCAAGTAAATTGCCCCCCTGAGCTGCTCTTTTGTCACTCTAGATGTGACATCATGCAAAACCCCATTTCCCACCCATCCCCTGCCCCAAGAAGTCATTTGTGCTTGCATCACACCGTCCTTGCACTACTGTACCACACTATCCAAATTATTATAGCTTACATGGATTACTGTAATAGTTTGGGTGAAAATCTAAGGGCTTAGATGTTTTATAAGGTATTAACTAGCATAAAGTAAAATAAAAAAAAAGTAATAGAGGTGCCTCAGCCTGAGGTCTTACATACAGCTTATCAGTCCAAGTACTATTCTGTGATTAGAAAGAGACCTTAATAGCAAGAGAGTATTTCTAACAGCATTCTTCAGGCAGTCTCCCCTCATCTCTCTCAGGAGTTGGTGGTACTTGGCATCCATTTTTTCTCCCCCTCTTCCCAATGCCTCTGTATGCTGTGCTGCCTTGGAGACCTATTTTGACTTAATTACCTGCCTAAGAGAGGGGCAACTTTGTAACAAGGACTTCTCTGATAGATCCTTTACAAAACAATGGAAGAGGGCATCATGGAGAGCTCCTACCCCTGTGTACAGGAGGAGGACTTGAGTTGTGTGCAGTTCTGCCCCTTCTTTGCACAGAGCTCAGAAACTGGAACGCCGCGTGCATTAACTGTTCTCTCTGCAGCTCTAATTGCACTGTCTTGCCCAGGCCACAGCTAGCCTAGAAGCAGCTCACCGCTGGTTCAAACGTAAGTTTGGCAGCCTGCAGCTAGAAGTTGTGAAAAGCCACCAACCAAAGAACCCTGAAGAAAGCAGCTCCAAAAAGGAGGTAAAGACAGCAGCGCTTTCGTTTCAAAGGGGGCAGCAAAGAAAATAGGTGGGGGAAGTATTTGGTAGCTCATTGTCAGTCAGGATTTGAGTTTCCTAAGCTTGCTTTTGTAGTTTCTTACACAGGGGTGGAAAACAGATCCCTCTTCTAGTTTAGTTTGTTTCCTCCCCTTTTGCCCAAGGACATGTTTAAGCAGCCAAGAACATTACAGCTACAAGACAGCTTCAAGGGACTTTCTGTACTTAGTAAAGTTCTGTTGCACATACTTCATGTTTTGTTGATGCTCATTAACCAAACACTTGTCTGAAAGCTAACAGCTAGTGTATTTTCTTCTCTACATCCACCTCTGTTTCAGTGGTTCTCCTTCCCCTCCTCCATACCTTTACAGATACCTTTTCAAAAAGCTGTGCTTACCTCATTTGTGTAGATTCCTCAGCCTTCTCCATCATTGGTAGTTCTTACATAGCTGTGTAATCCTTTTTTTATAGATGTATGCATTAAACTGCTAAGACTTTAATCTCTTCTTTAGTAATGACAAAGACTCCCCGAACAGTCATCAGCTTCATAAAACGTTGCATCTTTTCCCAGGAGAAAAAGCAAGAAGAGCTTCCCACTGACACCTCCCGGGACAGCAGGGCAAGGACTCAGCACCAGGAAGGCCCACGTGAGCTGGGCAGGAAATGAGCTCACTTGACTGGGTGATTCCCAGCCCAGGGAGAGCATCACCTGCAGCCAGGAGGCTCCCTGCAAGCATCCAGGTGCTGGCAGAACAGGGAACTTTGCTTGATCAGACATAGATAGGTCTGTATCACTGAGGCAGCCTTACAAATAAAAGGTGCTCACAGGGCACCCACATATAGGGGACCTACAGATGCTTGTTTAAATCATGAACTCTGGCTTGAATTAACTCATACCGCTCACCTTGTCTTTTTGACTCAGGTGCTTTGCATTGTGGGGCTGACATTAACAAAACTGCTATTTATAGCAAACCAATTATTCCTTATCATTACCGTGAACTCTGTGTTGTTGATATGCTACATCTTTGCTTTCGTCACATTCCTTTTACCAGCTTTAGACTAAGGCCTGGCAGGTGCTATCAAAACAAATCTCAGACTGGTTTGCAGAGGGTTTGTGGGAATTACGGCAGACCGAGTCATGTGTCTGCGGCTGGATGCTGACGTGAGCGGGACAGGGAGGAACTGGCAGGACTGGCTGCTTCTATTGGTAGATAATAGCTGGGTCACAAGAGAACATAACCCTTAGGCTATTTTGGGAGTGTATGAGGAATTCATTAGGTGTATGACATTATACCACACATCATCTTGCCTTCATAAGAATTAGTGGAATTTGTTCAACATATCCTACTGTGGAACAACACACTGG